GAAAACAAAGACAATGGTTTGTATATTATGTAATTTGGAAGATTCTTCCTGGAAGTACAGTGACCCTCCTCGTCCCCCTCCCTCTCTCTTTCTCTCTCAGATGCAGTTGAAATTATTTTTAAAAGTCACGTATTATAGTAGAATAGATTATAGCTTTAAGGGATATCCGCTTTTTATCCCTGGGGGTGTTTGAGTTCCACGTCTACATACTCCCTTTTCGAGGATGATCCTTCAAACCCCTTATCAAACGCCAACTTGAAGGATCTGTTCCGATCAGGGGTATACTAAAGACAACAGATGTCCACAATATACGGGTCACCTTTTTCACTTTTGATTGATCTTCATTGTGAATAATCCTTGAAAATGTGTGATCAAAGTATTGACCTACAGGATTCTGGGGTTGCGCCTGGCTTTGCCCATAATGCTAATGTAGTTCGCTTGCAAGAAGATAGGAACGCCTTTTAATGCTCGTTCTATCAGGCTATGTTAGGAATCAATGTCCAAGTGAGTGTGTCATTTGATCACATTCTTATGTTCCTCTGTCTGGCAGTAGATGACAGATGCCTGAAGTGAAGGTGCAAGAAGCACAGATTCCAAGTTCATACAAATGGCAACTGTCCTGACTTCGTCAGCTGAACCTTCAAGAGACAGTTTGTTGCCCTTCTCTTCCTCAGAATAAGGCTCTTTCCTTCAACCTCATGTGCTGTTTCCTTCTCTCTTTGTCCAAGTTTGCAGCCCTGTGGGACTCGCATACATCACAGAAGCCCTTTTGGGGATGATGCAACGCCAAACTGTTGTTATGAAACTAACTATTTTTTAAAGTCTGTTAGTCCTAGGCCCTTGAGGCAAAGTTTCTCACACCTTTTCAAGTACCCGTACTCCACTAGAGAACGAAAATGAGGCCCCTGAAAACACTTTGCCGAGGTTTTTCGACAATAGTAAGACAGAATTTCAGTAATATTCCAAATTAATCATCTACAGGAACAATTTCTCATCACTTCAAACAGGAGGGCAAATCTGCCTTTGGCAGCTCTGAATCTGACCCTAACGAATCAGTGGAATTTCGAATTGTCCAGTCCAGTAAAGCTAGGGTAATGGTTAACATTTTCATGCCAACACAACGCTTACTCCACCTTCCTTTATGAAGTACTGATGTGAACAAACAAGAGAGACCCATTGGATGCTTCTGAAGCTTTCCCCTTCCTCATCACATCACCCCGGTCAACTAGACAGTTGACGTACGCTTTTTTAACTCTCCTATGATATATAATGACCACACATAGTCAAATGTCATTGCTCTGTCTACATCTGAAAGAGAATTGCACCCCAGCCCGTTGTAGGTTGCAAGGTTCCAGAAGTTGGTGTGCTGGTCGTTGGGCACCATTGGCAGAGACATAGCTTTGTCCCGACTCCCTGAGAGATGTTTGCAACTCTGCGAATTTCAAACACCTTGTTTACCAAGTTTTTGGGTCAGGATAGAAAATTCTTCATTGCTAGGAACAACTTCTGCAGTTGACACAGGTAGTTAGGAGAATGTTGTCAGCACCCCAATGCCCGCTGCAGAAATGACCGCGCCAACACCTGATACTGGTGGGGTTTTTTTTGGCTGAGCCCATAGTACCATGGTACCAATGTCTGACTCAAGAAGTGCAGTGTCACTAAATGATGTTGAGGGGATGTCAGAAGTGTCACTAGATAATGAAAAGGGAAAATAGTGCCAAGAACTAGAGCCAGAGTAACGTCAGCTGTGACATCAGCATGATCGACTGATACTAAAGGGATGTCACTCTGCAACGTAGCATCACAAAGACGAATTGGAACCGAAAGGGCAGAACAAGAAGCCAGCCCCTCGAGCTCTCAAGTAGTAGTTAAATGTTGGTTGAGTTGGGTCAAATGTGGTCACTGGCGAATTTTTTCAGGGCGTTGAAAATTCACCGGTAGAAAACCCGTCTTGTCGAAGCATTTCACAGAAATATCTAATTCTGACGTCTTGTGCAATAAAACAATGTTGTCCACTTTGTCTTCAATGGCTTTTACTGATATTTCTATAGCGGCAATGATTAGGGGGAAGTCTTCCCACCTTGAACATTAGCACATTTGTCAGGTTTCGAAAGCGACAACTGGACTAAGCATTGGCCCCAGCTGACAGGAAACATTTTTAGAGAAGAATAAAACAAATGCCCCTTCTGCTTGACAATAATGTTTTGAGTTATCACTTGAGTTTTCCTGTATACGGATTTTTCTAGACACAAATTTCAATTTGGTCATCAGCACTGTTGATGGTCATACAGACCTGTGTTATACAGTATCACGTTAAACGCTTTTTGGTGTCAGCAAAACGTGTTGTTTTGGTGGTTGCCAGGAAGAACAATTTTGGAAATCTAATATGTTTAGATGTTAACCTGTGATTGGTGTACGCAGACAGACAGGCTGTTTTCGATGTCCATACACATATTTAGACCATCTAAAGTTTTATGGAACATGGTATTTTAGTCTTAATGCTTTCAAATATTCCTGCTCCCTACAATGTATTATATTGACTTTGATGTTAGGGAAAAGGCCGAGTTCAGTTTGAATACTGAACAACGTGCGTTAAGTGTGAACACCAATATAAGTACCTAATCGGTCCTTTTGCAAAGGGCAACGTTGTAGGCTTCTCAATGAAACGATTATCTTTGATTCAGAACCACAATGCAAAAAACAAAATTTTAAATAAAACTACAAGAAGGACCCGACGCAATACTGTTGCGCAAGATGGACTGTCGGACAACACAACTATTGTTAGGCTATTACATTACCCAACATAAGCGACGGCTGAGCAGACAGGGCCACGGGCACATAACTCCAAAGCGCCACGCTGGCGTTTACTAGTTTTTATTCCCGATGGCTTTCACACATTTGGAGATAGGACCCTTTTTTTTTGGGGGGGGGGGGGGGTTAATGTCCTTTATATTTCATCCTGTCAAATATCGTTTGACTGGACATACTGTATTTTATTCAGAATCTTATAAGCCAAAAAAGTAAATTTTGAAAATTTTGTCGCATAGAAGATTTGTGCACGACGGCAACGATATATGATATAATATATAATATATATATATGTGTGTGTGTGTGTGATATATACGTATATATAATGTACATATACATGTATATAGTTACATGTTTCATATAAATATAAAAATTATATGTGACTATTAAGTGTTGATACCATGTTCATGTACATTTGAACATGTGTACGCAACAGTCTGCCTCACATAAACCACTTATTGATGTATTCTTTTTATTTTTCAACCACAGACTCAGACGGTAAAATTTGCGTGACAGAGGGTTGTGTTACGGCAGGTAGGTACCTTGGCAAAGGTATAGCTATGATAAGACATGGCCTTCCAAAGAATTTGCGTTTGTGGGATAGGGAGGGCGTTTGCATCTGGATTTTAAAGCCGATTTTTTCTCTGTTTTACTTCTTATTTTAAAGTATGCTACACCCATTGCCATTAATGGCAGATCCTTTTGCAAATTAACAACTTTTTTTCTTGGAAATCAGTGGGAGGAATAGCTCATTGCTAAAAGAAACAAACCTTAGGAATTAAACTTGAGCACAAAAGGGGGAGGGTGGTGGTGAAGGGTTTGTTTTCACCAACGTTTTATTTACTTAATCTGCATTTTTTGTTAAATAAACAAAACGTCATTTCCGTGTACCGCTTTTGTCGGCCGACAAGTGTGAACTCAATATCTTTTGCACAAGAGTGAAACTTTCAAAATTACTGTTTTCTTAATACTATGTTCTCTCTCGTCTCTGGCTATGGGGGAAGTCGTACCTAAAACCTTTGGAAGGAAAAGACACTGCTACTGGAGATCTCACTTTCGACTTTCCATTTCTCTGCATTACACTGTCTTTGCTTCAGTTTAAAACGGTTTCTAACATTGTTCTCTTGCATGTTCTTCTCTCTCTCTCTCTCTCTCTCTCTCTCTCTCTCTCTCTCTCTCTCTCTCTATCTATCTATCTATCTTACACACACTCACAAACGTGCTCGTACGCGCGTGCGTGCGTGCGTGCGTGCGTACGTGCTTGCGCGCGTTCATGCTCGCGTGCATTCACTTTCTTCACTTTCTCTACTTTCCCTTATTTCTTTTTGGACTCTATTGTCCGTGCTTGGTTTCACATTTTTACCTTCCTTGGCGGTTGGAGGGCGCCACTGGTAGGTCTTTACTTCCTCTTTTTCTCTCTGTTGTTTCTGTCCGTTTCACGTTTGCCCTTCCTACAATTATCGCTATTGTGTCGATGTGCATCCTTGTGTATAACAAAAAAATATAAAAGGCAAATTGTCCTCCTCCTCCTCCCCCTCCTCTTCCTCCTCCTCTTTTGGAATTCAATTCATTTTCATTGGCCTATTACGCCCATTATCCTTTTTTGTGTTGCCGATTTTGCCCTATTATTGTTCTGACACTGAATTATATGACATTAATAAATCGCCTTTAAACTAGCTCAGTTTTTTTATAAAAGTTAAACTCGAAAACAACAGTTTAGAACAACTTGGCCCAAACCAAAAGAATATGATACTTTTGAAAATCAACTGTTATTATATTGATACCATACATGTTTCTAAAAATTTTCTTCTATACGTTTCTACTCTAGCCGCCCGCATCATGAGTAACCTCGACAAATCAGTTCATCCCTGTGACAACTTCTACAATTTTGCTTGTGCGAATTGGGAATATGACCGCGACATTCCCAAAGACTCAGCAGCCTTGAGTGTTTTATCAGAGCTGGGGAAAAAAGTGGATCGTCAAGTAAAACGTAAGTATTGCTTTCTGTTCTGTGAATGATGATATTAGATGATATTAGATTATTTTACCGTAGCATACTCATTTAGAGATCTAATTTTTAATCAACTTGATGACTCGTATAGACTTTGGATGACCCAAGCAGTATTCTAAGTAAAACTTACGTTTGCAAATAGAAGACTTTTTTACATCCACTATCCCCCTGTCATTCCTCATCAACAGTTTAAACATCCCAACAATTAAAAAAAACAACAACAAACAAACAAACAAAATTAAGAATTTTTCTGACTATTGTGTCTATAATCTCTTTTTAAATGTGTAACTCTTTCAGGTTCATAGTAGGTACGAGGTATTTCTTGTTAGATTGAAGGGTGAATCAAAATGATTAGCCAACGAAAAACTTAGGCCAGACTTTCCTTTGTTGCTGATATGTCAATATAAAAAAAATCTAACTAAATTGATTTAGAAATCAGTCAAAGTTTTTTTTCCCCCTAAGACTCTAGTATCCTAGACAAATCTTTAACAAAGGTGAGAAAGGACCAGACAAATTTTACACACACAGACACAAACACACACACACACATACACACGCACACACACACACACACACACACGCACACACACACACACACACACACACACACACACACACACAGAGATATTTACATATATATATATATATATATATATATATATATATATATATATATATATATATATATATATATATATATATATATATATATATATATATATATATATACTTATGTCACGACGTGGTGGAATCAGGCACTTGTCAATTTGTGGGTGTATGCAGTTATTTTTATCATCTTAAGGGTTTTTAATTTGTCTTGTATTTAATGAAAAAAAAGTTCATTTATTTCGCTTAAAAATACATATGTTTGCAATTAAAGGAGGCGGGGTAACCTGTATTCAGATGTACAATTTGCGAGAAAATGGCCACCAAAGTTCGGTGAGTTTCATAGCTCAAGAGTTTTTTAGAGACTACAAATTTACATTTTTGGCGTCTTTGATAAACGTTCTTCCATAAAATCCACACAAAATAATATTTTTGGATTAACAATCAAAGTGTTGAGCCAAAAAAAACAAAAATTCGCAACAATATTCCAAAGTGCCGAAAAATGCCGATTTCTTCGATTTCATTATTTTGACGAGGGTCTGATTTCACCACGATACATCATTCATATACATATATCTATATCTATACATATATATATATATATATATATATATATATATATGAGCCACAGTTTAACAATGAGAGGGGGCTCTGGGGGTTACGGTTTTCGCCTCTTCTCTAAAACGTACTCCTTTCACCTCCATTTCTGCTCTCTTTGTCGTCTGCTTTCATCTTCACTTTCTTCTGCCCTCCCCCCCCCTCTCCACTTCCTCCTCATCTAGGCTCCTGGTTCTTTCTACAGTCTTCCTGCTGCTACTCCTTGGCTCCTTCTTTCTGCTGCTTTTCAGCCACACCACTCATCTTATGGTAAGTGTAAGATCTAACACATAGCCTTATTGGATAAGGGCGAAAAATCTCGGAGGCCCAGGGTGCAAGTTATGCACGTTAAAGATCATCGGGGTGGTGCTACTGACTAAAGTGTCTCTCGGCCATTCCCAAAGGGGGGACATTAACATGTTCTTATGCTCAATAGAATTGTGAATGGGCTGATCATTAATGTCATGTTCATAACTGTGCCTGCACTGTAACAGGAAACTGCTGGGGGTTTTTTTCCTAATTCTTACAATCGTTATTTTCCCTCTACTTCTTTTGTATGTTTGTCACACTCTTGTGACCCGCGATTCCCGGGGTGCCTTGACAATCGAAGCTGGCTTTGTGCTGTTGAAGCTAGAGAGGTGAGCAGAGTAATCCTGCTTCCCTGTATGGACTTCTCTGTTGACATCCACCCCTTGGCGCTCTTATGACCTTACGCACGCAGTTGCGAGCGTCATAAAAACTATACTAAAACTAAACTAAAGAATAGGCTTCGGCTGCCACCGGAAAAAATTAAAAATTCCTACCAAACTAAAACTGTTTAATGTGTCTTCCGCGCTCATACGACCTTATGCAGTTGTGAGCACCGTAAAACACTCACCCCCGAAAAATATACATATATAAAAATGGGACCAATGTCTCTCTATAAATGCGTTACTGAAAATGGCACTGTACAACACTTAAGTCCTATTTGGCACCTAATGGATTTCGATCTTTGGAAATGCCATTTCGTCCCCAAAGTTTGTGAAGGTAAAACAGGGTCACAAGTACTTGTGAGCAACAACTGTTGAAAATGAATACGATCGTGATCCGCACAGATTCCTTCGAACTATGGCAGGGACGCCAGCTTATTTCTACAAAAGAAGAAATGGACAAGGGGACGCACATGGCGTGGGAAACGTTTCGTAAAGAATTAGGTCAACTGTATCTCAAACGCTTCAGTGACGTTAAATTCGCGGTCCTGTTTACAGAACAAATAAGTTGAAGCGAGACCCCCCTCATACATTCCCTTTACACCTTCTTTCAAGGGATCTGCTATCCATTGCAATATGTCGATAAATAAACACCATTTTTTATGATATTTGAAAATGGTATCTTCAGACATATCGTTGCTACACCTGAATGACCTTCTCTTTTCTTTGCTTTGCCTCAACGTGACGCTCATTGATACAATGAGCGTGCCAAAGCATCATTATTTTTATTATAGAGAAACTATCACGTTTGTACTACGACATCATTAAAGGATTCGTCATGTTATTCGGTTAGGGAATGATTGTTGTTCTCTTGCAAAAGTGGTGAAGCGAATTCAATGTATTCAAACTTTTTATAAGTTATATTGATTCAGTTTCAAACATACGTGACGTAGATATGGGGATGCACTTTGCAGTTAGTCTACAGAGCTATCCGTTTTCCAAAGGCCTGATAAAATCGTGCATACATTATCTCTTCTTGGCATTTCGAAAGTGTGATTACAAGGACAGCAGAGGTGTTCTTAAATGTATGCAGTGGTATTTCCACACTTGTTTCAAAGAATGCTGACACCTGAACTCCCTGAGCTCTGATTTAAAATAATGACACACGTAGTCTCTCAGACACACACACACACACACACACACACACACACACACACACACACACACACACACAAACACACACTCACATCCACACCCAGACATACACATACACACGTATACACACACACACACATACACACACACAAACACACACACACACACACACACACACACACTCACACGTACACACACCCATACACATAATAATGTTACATCGTTTTAATGTTAAATATTTCTAAAGGTCAGCGGTGATGAGAAAGAGAAATGATACTCACACCCAGGCTGTATAAGATCAAACGGAGGATATTATAATATTATTCGAATGGACAATGGGATGTTTTAAACAGATAGTCAAAAAAAATTAAAGAACTTTTCAAAGCAAAAAGAGGGGAAAATCAGTAGTAAAGGCAGAAATAAATGGACTAACAATTTTGAGAAAATAAAGTGCAAGTTGACATTTAAAAAAACAAAAAACGAACCCAAAACAAAACAAGAAGAAGTTGAAGGGCCTGAAAATATCCCAATTGAAGTGGTTGTCAGTTAGGAAGAACCAGGGACTGAAATAATAACAAAGCATTTATTCTGTCTATGATAATGGTGAGATTTCTTAATTAAGATATGATTGACACAGTTTTTATAGCGTTTCCTTATTCCCCGGGTGGCACAGACTGGGGTTTGCATGGAACAATACATCTTATGAGCCATTAGTTCTAATGACGAGAATGATAAACAATATAAAAGTAGAGATATCTTAAACACAATTTGGTTTTGTCTTCTATCAAGAGTTCCAAAGGGCTATATTTGCCTTTACAATGTAAATGGGAGGATGTTATATTGAAACAAAACATTTGTATTTGTGATTGAATGATTTGCTCAAATGCTTTTGAAACAATTTGACGTGATGAGTTATTCTAATTCTGGATGAGCTAGGTCTCAAAAGGAATTAAGAAAATAGTAATAAGAATAGGTATGCCGATGACTCTGTTTCAGAAAACGAGTCACTAATAATTGTTTCTAGGCACTGTTTGGCGGAAAGTGAACGTAAACGGATATTATTAAACGTAAAGAAAACAGAATGCACAGCATGATCTTAAAAAGCAGTAAATCCTAAAAGTAATTTCTTAGAAGCAAAAGTGGAAAGATCAAATGAGTTCAGTACCGGGATATTAAATATCTAGGAAAAGTATGTCTTTACATACTGCGCTAAACGTTCCACAGAAATGACGCGATTATTTGCAATACCAAAAGACTGATTCAATAAAGTGAGCTTCATCCAGAAAGTCTGACACTTTTCAGTTACAAAGAAAATAAAAGTTAAAAATAGTCTCCAAATTAAAATAGAACCAACGGAAACGTGACTTTATAAGAAATGCTGAAAATCTCATAGAAGGAAAAGAAATCAAACGATGTAGAACTGGAAGAGGCTAAACAGCTCACTAACTAGGAAATCCTTTACAAATGGGTGACGTGACCCCCCCCCTAAAAATATTTTTTTTAAAAATATAGATCTTTATTATCTTTAGAGCATTCGAGGAGAGACGAAATATCAATCATATTAGCAAATGTCTTTTAATGACCTGGTATTTTAAAGTAATGATCGTTCTAAACATAACTCAACGATCCTATATGGTGTAGCCGTTAGCATTTTACCTCCGCACATAGAAAACTTGTGTTCCATTCCCTAGTGGAGAGAATTTTATAAAGCATCTCGGTCTCTCTGTTGGGATGCTATATCCGCACGAGGTCGAAGGCCGCTTCCTAAACTATCTCAAATGAGTCAATAAGGACGCAAAATAAATCTTTATTAAAAAAGCGAAACATTCAAACATTACTCGTGCTCTTGGAGTTCATGAGTGCGACGTTTCCTTTAAGGAATTACCCATCCGTGTCATGCCTGCGTAGGAATTGGCAGTCATAATATAGCGTCCTTCTTTTCTAAGGGGAAAGGGAGAGCTGGAATGTTGACACTGCATAAAGCGTTGCGTGGTGTTGTAAATGGGAGTCACAATAAAACCATCGAATAATATGCCACTTCTGCAAAAATGTTTGAGGTATATAAATTATATTTTAATCTTTTTCTCGCTTACTCCTCTTTAACTTTCTCGCCTATTCAACCACATCTTTCTTTCCCTCCCCTCTCCCTCTCTCTCTCTCTATCTCTCTCTTTCTCTCTCTCTCTCTCCCTCTCTCTCTCTCTCTCTCTCTCTCTCTCTCTCTCTCTCTCTCTATCTCTCCCTCTCGCTCTCTCTCCCTGTCGCTCTCTCTCCCTGTCGCTCTCTTTCTCTGTCTGTCTGTCTGTCTGTCTGTCTGTCTGTCTGTCTGTCTGTCTGTCTGTCTCTCTCTCTATCTCTCTCTCTGTGTGTGTGTGTGTGTGTGTGTGTGTGTGTGTGTGTGTGCATAATATGTGTATCTACATTTAATGTACGAAGAAGTGTTGTATGTGGCGTAGTGGTTAGGGGCTTCACCGTTCCCGGTAGTAGACATGAGTTCAGTTTGCATGGGAGACAATTTTTATTTGGTATCACTTGGTCTATCTACTGAGACATTATATCCCTCTCAGTGCGGATTGATCCGACAGACAGGGCGTAAGCCCTCCTCCTATATCATCTAAATTGTTTCAATGGGAATATGGAACATCTGCAAGTACATCTGATTACCAACACCTAGTACCAAATCAGTAATGATATCCTGACATTTCTATCGGTATCGTAAATATCAAGAGTCGACTGTATTTGCCTCTGACAAGCAAAATTGAAGCAGGCAAAATGGAAGCAATATGGCTTCAAAAACAATTTAAAGCAAACCTATAAGGACTTAAAATATATATATATATATATATATATATCTATATATCTATATATCTATATATCTATATATCTATATATCTATCTATCTCTATCGATCTATCTATCTATCTATCTATCTATCTATCTATCTATCTCTCTCTCTCTCTCTCTCTCTCTCTCTCTCTATATATATATATATATATATATATATATATATATATATATATATATATATATATATGTGTGTGTGTGTGTGTGTGTGTGTGTGTGTGTGTGTGTGTGTGTGTGTGTGTGTGTGTGTGTGTGTGTGTGCGTGCATGTGTGTAATATGAAATACATGAACGGCATACACCTATATTGTAACATTTAATCATGCTTCAATTTTGCTTTCCTCAGTTATCATCGAAGCGCCGTCACCACCAGACGAGCTGCCAGTAGTGACGAAGGCCAAGAATTTGTACAAATCCTGTCTCGATCTAGGTATCTTTTGTGTTTTTGTCTGGTGCTAGATCATGTCTTATTCTACCTTATCAGTTTGAGGCACTAAAACAACACAAACCCTGCATGATGAAAACGTTTAGGGGCGTAGGTACACAAAATGGAAAGAAATTCAACTAAAAGGAGCAATTTAACTTTCTCTATCTTTAATATCTATTCTGTAATCAAATAATTTTATGGGGGCTCTCGTGGTCTAGAGGTTACGGCGTTCGCCTCTCATTCAATAGGTCCCGGGTTCGGAATCTGACAGCGGCAGAATATGTTCTTCTCCAATATGTTCATCGTTCCTCTCCTTTCCTGCTCTCTATGTTCTGCCGTCTGCTTTCGTCTCCATTTTATACTCGGCAACTCTAGCCCCTCTGGGCTCCTGACTCTTTCCGCAGCCGTTCTACTGCTACTCTGTCTTTTAGCCGTACCCCTGGTTTTAGGATGGGTAAGGTCTAATACCTAAACTTTTCTGATGAGGGCAAACAATCTCGGAGGTCCCGAGAGCAAGTTGCGCATGTTGAAGATCCATTGGTGGTCCAAATCAATAAGAGTAGGCTTCGGCCGCCACCCAGAAAAATTCAAATCTAGTACTCACCAAACTGAAAATGTTTAATGTGTCTCGCTCGCTTATAATATGTATGCAGTTGCGAGCGCGGTAAAACACTTACCAAAACAAAAACAAACAAAAAAACAATTTGAAGGGGACAATACTGCTACTGGTTTCTGAACAGTATTGTTGGTTGTATGTGACATTTTGTGTGTATGTGTATGTATACTATGTGTGTCGTTCAACGATAGGACAGACAGAGCAGATGATATTGGTGTCATGCAGTATGACTGAAAGGTTAAGGGAAGGAAAAAGTATGGGGTTGCTATTTGATCGGTTGATGGGTTCACTGAATGATTGATTGGTAGAAGGATTGAATGACAGATCAATAGATGGATTTATTGCTTATTATTTGCCATTTACATTCTCTCGTCTCACCCCACCTACTCCACATAATCCCAAATAATTGTTCTTTTGGGGGCATTTTCTTTCTTAAATAAAACTAATCTCAGAATTGATAACCCTCTCTCCTTTTATGCTAACTCCAAGAAACAATGGATGCACGTGGAATCGACCCATACAAGCAATGGCTCAGTTCTACTATCGGAGAGTGGCCTTTGATCTCCAGTGCTTTCAACGAGTCGGAATTTGACATCACTGACGCCATCAGAAAAGCCAATATCTACGGTCCCGGCCCCGTTGTCGCTTTCTATGTTGGTACTGACGACAAAAACTCTTCTAAAAAGATACTTAAGGTAAAGGGGAACATTCAACTGCCCCCTCCCCCTTTCTCTCTCTCTCTCTCTCTCTCTCTCT